AAAATCCGAATCTAGGGACACCCCCCTCGTTTGAGGCCGATTTGGAAATTCCACTGAAGCCTGAGTTTCAGTATGAAGCTCCACTTGAGCTGAGTGCCACAATTGTGCCTCTCTTTCCGCTAACCGTAAAACCTCTAACGGATCGTTATCCACATTTTCAAACAATTTTTCATTCCGTGCTTTCCAAATATACCAAATAATCCAAGGAAAAGCTATGGAATCAAACTCCGATGGTATTCTCCAAAATAAATGATCCAAGTTTGCAAAAATTGAATATGTGGGAAAAGTCCCCATAACCGTAGGAATCTGAGAAAGTGCCCAAACCTGTCTTGCAGGATGACACTGAAAGAGTGTGTGATTGACTGTTTCCTCCAGTGCACCACATCTGGCACAACCAGTGTCACAATCAATTCCTCTTTTTCGTAAGTTCTCTGTAACCGGTACACAACCCGTTAAGATTTGCCATAAAAAATGACGTATCCTAGGTGGACACTGTACTTTCCAAGTATGAGCCTTTAGCTTATTGAAATCTGGCCCAATGAAAGATGAGTTGGTTTCCAACTTATCCAACCGTGCGGTATGATACCCCGACTTAACTGAATATTTGCCGGATTTTGTAAAATGCCAACCCAAGGTGTCCTCCTTGGTTGGCGCACCCACCGGTAGGGCACTTATTAACTCGACATCTTCCTGGTCAAAGACCGCTTTGAGGAGATCAATGCCCCAAAAATTAGATCGACTATCTATAAGCATGTTAACTTTTAAAGATGGGTCATTAATAGATCCATTACTTTTTGCTGGTCTCGGGAATTGAGCTGGAATCCACGGATCCTCCCAAACTGAGATGGAATTCCCAGATCCGACTCTTTTAATAAGTCCTTTATTTACCAGAGATCTAGCTGAGCATATACTCCGCCACCCATACGATGGGGAATATGACTTTATATTTTCCAAAGGATTGGATTTCCTATAATACCGCCCTTTAAAAACCCTCGCAAAGAGAGAATCCGGAACCGTGATCAACCGCCACAACTGTTTTGCAAGTAAGGCCGAATTAAAATCATCGACGTTTCGAAATCCTATCCCTCCTTCCGATTTATTAATACATAATTTATCCCAAGCCATCCAATGCATACCTCTGGAGGCACCATTCGAGCTCCACCAGAATTAGAAACCGCACTAGTGAGTTTAGAAGTGATTGTTTTCGGTAGTTTAAAAGGCACAATTTGTTATTTTTTTAATTGTATCATAAAGATTTTTTGAACTCGATTGTTTGCTCTATCATCTTTTTTTGTTTTGTTTATCCCACTCTCTCGTATAATAACAAAGTTCAGGAGTATTTTGAAGTTTACAAAAAAATTCGTAGATTTTATACAAAGATAGAATTAGTTTATATAAAGATAAAGAAAGAAAAAATCATCTTTAACTAATTTATATAATAATAGCAATCTCAATAAATATATTTTTTATATTGTGTATAGTTGTGTCTTTTTATGGTTGTGTTTTTTTTTTAGAAAGTTGCAATCTGAGTAAACATTTTTTACGGTTGTGAATTTTTATCGTAACTTTTCATAAAAAGTTGCAACCATATAGTTGAACTATAGCATTTAGTTTATTTGACAAACTACTGCTATTTTTGGTTTCGTTTATGAATCGTTATAACATTTAATTATCTACAGCCGCGTAGCTTACACTACAAGAAAACATAGCCATTTCCGAGGAAAATTTCCGACGAAATGTTTGGTCGGAAATTTTCCGACAGGTTTCCGACGAGTTTCCGAGGAAAAATAAATTCGTCGGAAAATTGTCGAAAAAAAAGAAAAATTTCCGACGATCACAAATTCGTCAGAACTTTGTCGGAAGGATTCATCGGAAAACATGGAAAATTACGACTATTTAATTTTATCGGAAATTGGTCGGAAATTGGTCGGAAACTTGTCGGAATACTCGTCGTAAATATTAGGTGAACACATGTTTATTCACTGCACATTTTCCGACAAAATTCCGACGCTTTGGTCGGAAATATAAGTCGGAAAAATCGTCAGAAATTATTAGTTTAAACCTTTAATATTTCCGACGAAGTTCCGACGAAATTTAAGTCGGAAAGTTTTGTTAGTCGGAAATTTGTCGGAAATTATTTCTTTAATCATTTTTATTTTAAAAAAACAAAAAAATAAATAATTTATAATAAATAAATAATTAATTAATTTCGTCGGAAAGTCGTCAGAAATATTATTTTGAAATTTTTTTTTGAAAAATTAAATAATTTATAATTAAGTAAATAATTAATTAATAATTAATTTCGTCGGAAATTCGTCGGAAATTTCTACGTTCGTCGGAATTTTGTCGGAAATTTCTACGTTCGTCGGAATTTCGTTGGAATTGTACATTCAGTTCAAATGAATTTACCGCGTTTTGTAGTTTCCGACAAATTTCCGACGAAATACATCGTCGGAAATTTTTTCTATATATAGCAAATGAGTTTTCATCCTTTCCACAATTCCAAACACAACAATCTCAATCTCTATTAACATCTTCTTCTCTCTACATCAAACATCATTCCTTTGTTGACAAAAAAAAAAAAACAAAACATCATTCCTTTTTTTTTAAAGTTCAACATTTTTATTCTCTTCTTCAATTAATAGAGACATTTATGTATTTATATATTTATTCATTTTAATTAATTTAATTTTAATTCTCATTTGTTGATAATGAAAATTGGTTTTGTGACAATTAATCTATTTTTGTAGATATTCAATAATTATTTTAATTTTAAGTATAATACTCTTATTTGTTTTTTTTGTTTTTTTTTTTTTTAAATAGAAAAGTTGTCGGAATTTTGTCGGAACTAATTTCGGTATATATTTATTTTTATTTTAAAAGTGGTCTGAAATTTCCGACGAATTTCCGACCACTATATGAATAGTCGTCGGAAATTTGTCGGAAATTTCCGACAAAATTCCGACAAATATTTCCGACAACATTTCCGACAAATAGTTTTCGTCGATAATTTCCGACGAATTTCCGACAACTTATGGTTTCCGACCAGAGAATTCCGACGAATGTGATTTTGTCGGAAATATGTCGGAATATGCTATTTCCGACGAATTTCCGACCAATACCTTTGTCGGAAATTGTGATGTTTTCTTGTAGTGTTAGTGTAACTTTTTATAATTTCTTATTTTTTATTTTTAATTAATAAAATATATTTAAATAAATTTACAACATTGTAATTGAACCGTTTCAACACACTACAAAAAAAGTGGACATTGATAGCACAACATAATAGCACGGATTTCGTTAATGCTATTAAAAATGATACTCGGATTTTTATAACGATATTATAGCATTTTAGAAACGCTAAACCCTATAATAGCAGAACGGAAACTAAAATTACTTATACCGCCAATATTTAGCGAAAATTTTGCCCAAACCGCCAACAACTTAGACAAAAAAAAAAAAAAAACTCAAATTAACAATCAAACCCTAATTTCTATCTTCTCCTATCCCTTTCTCTCCTTTACCTCTTCGCTCTCTTCCTCGATTCTTCCTTTATTCTCCCATCTCCTTAGCTCTCCTTTACCTCTTCACTCTCTTCCTATGAGGCTATGATTATACGAATCTGGATCTACTGGATTTTATCAATTTCTCTCACTCTTTGTAACTATCGCTCTCATCCCTAAATTCTTCTTCTTCTTAAATTCTATAAATTATCCATCCTCCATTCTCAAATTTCGTAGCTTTTGCTTCTTCTGTGATTTTGGGTTCAGTCACTTTTCGGGTTGGTGATGTTTTTGGTGTAAAGCTTTGGTTTTTATTTTTGTTGCAATTGTGGGTTTAGCTTAAAACGAGGTCTTTGTACATGGGTTCTTGTGCTCAAATTTCGTGGCTCTTGCTTCTTCTGTGATTTGGGTTTTAGTCACTTTCTCGATTTGTGAAGTTTTTGGTTTAAAAGTTTTGATTTTTATTTGCTGCAAAGGTTGAAGATGTCAACGCCGAAATCGGGTGGAGATCCACTGCAACATCCGACGAAAGAACAGCTTACAGATATCTCTTACTGCATTACAAGCCCTCCTCCATGGCGTTAGGTTCTCTTCTTTGCCTTTTCCCCTAAACGTTTGACTTTTAGCTTTTGTTCTCGGCATATCCCTAGATTTGAAGCTATGTGACTGATTAGCTTCTTCCATTTTGCTTTTTCTTTCAAATGAGGATTAGATCCTTACTTATCTCTTTAAGAATTATTCGTTTTACATTGAGAATCTTCCTAAGTGTTTTGAAGAAGAATAAACTTAATCAGCCCTTGCATTTAACTAAATCATGTCTTGTTTATTATGTATCATTCTCTGGATTCACTTCTTCCTATTAGGGAACTGGAAATAACTTCTCATTAGATTCTGACTCTTTTGGGCATATGTTCAATCTAACTGTTGTTTGTAGTGATATGTTTCTAATTTGACAATTCTTGTTTGAATGTTGTATTTTTAAGCTTCTTATTTAGTAAATGCGAGATTGAGAGTTATCTTTCAGCTGAGGCTATTCTGCTTGGAGCAACCTATCACTCAAATGCGGTGGATATGTGGTCTGTTGGCTGCATTTTTTGGTACTACTTCTTCTCTTTTAGTTTCACTTCAGTGTCAATATAGTAAGAACTAACAACTTTGTATATTTTTTATTTGTAGCTGAACTAGTGACCAAGTAAGCAATATAGTAAGAACTAATACATTTCCCAATTCATAAATACACAAATAAGACGTTCACTGACTCACTTGTTCTACTTCTATCTTTTTCTGTGGAAATTAATGTTGTTAGACCACCAAACAAAGTCTTTCCTGCATAATTAACACTATTAGAAGAATCTGAACTTGATTTCTATTTGAATAAAAAGGTAACTTATGATTGCTTTGTGGGTGTTACCTGTAGGAAGTTCTTGACTGTCAAATTGTCAATCCCTTTTACCTTGCTGTATTATGAGATAGTTATTTGAAATATCTTTCTAGAACATTAAGTTGATGAAAGATATGGTTGTTTTTCTGGTAAACTTGAAGGTCCTCTTGTCAAATTGTGCATCTTTATCTCATGATGGATCTCTGGTTGTTGGTGGGTTCTTCGATTCATCAATAAAGGTATGTAATTCTGGTTTCTGAGTTTAGATTGATTTTAGCTTTGTTGCTCTACTAGTTCCTCTTCTTATTGGCATATAAGTTCCCATTGAAATACATTGTGGAAGGATGCCAAAGTATCTTTTAGAGTCTATGGATATTCCCTTTTATCAATCAAATTTGTGTTCAATATCTCTGACTTGTAACGTCTCTTTGTTGGGAAAATGCAGGAGAATGAATAAGGACTACGATTGCAACCTTTAAAGACGTAGATGTGTACGACGTAGAGTTTTGTGTTGAGAAGACATGTCTTGAGTAAGGATGAATCTACTAAAGTTGGACACTTTGAGGACTTCAAGAAAGAGAAGGAGAAGATTATGTTCAAGAAGAAAGTAGGAGACATGATTGAAGTTTGTCTTTCTGGTGTTAGATTAATTTTGTTTTAAACTTGGTATGATGTTATGAAAAGGATGGATAATGTAATATTACTGTTTTGTTGTTGATGATTGATGATTTATGAAATATAAAAAGTATATTATAAATCTAATTAAATTTATTTTGCAAAATAGGATTCAAATATAAAAATTATTTATAAAACCAATTAAATTTATATAGCAAATATAAAATGCTACATTACAATATAAAATAGCACTAAACGTATGCTATAATATAGTATATTAGATTATTTTACTATCGCTATAATTGATCGACGTATAATAGCATGTCAGAAAACGCTATCGTAGGTGGAAAACCTACCATAGCTGCCGATGTTATAGCATTTGTGAATTCGCTATGTAATATGTATTATAGCAGATTTTTCGCGCTAACGATGAACATATTTCTTGTAATGAACATTTGGTTAATTTATTTGACGAATCGTTGCAATTTTTTGGTTTTTTTTATGAACCGTTGTAATTTTAGTTTATTTGAGGAACTATTGAAACTTTTGGAATATTTAATATATATGATCGCATCTTTCGGTATAACTTTTCTTTATTTTTTTCTTACTTATTAATTAAAAAAAATATAAAGTTTCTACAAAAGAACCTGTTAGATTACTAGCGAATGACAGAAATTCCACCAATTCAATGGTTATATCCTTTAGTTCTTGTTTCGTATTTGTCATAATCCCTACAAGCTCAAGCAAAAGCGGTTAGGAGTTTACCTTGGCACTCTCTCCGACCCCTTATACTACCGAAGCCAATTGGGGACAGTTTTTGCGTTTGCTCAACAATGAGACTAACGGGAATCTAAGCAACCATATATACGCCGTCGAATTCAACACGAAACAAGGATTCAAAAATAGTTCATTGAAGAAAAGTTAGTTTATAAAATATTAAAAAAAATTAAAGAAAAGTTAGTATATAAAATATTATTTTAGTCTAATTAAAGAAAAAAATAAAGAAAAATTAGTTTATAAAATATGAAAGAAAAGTTATACTGAGAGATGCGATCGTATATACTAAATATACTAAAATTTGCAATCATTTATTTGAACTAATACAACATTTAGTTTATTTGACGAATCATTGCAACTTTCAGTTTATTTTTTGAACCTTTGTAATCTTTTCTATATAATAATAGAAATCTGAATTAATGTGTTCTATGGTTGTGTCTTTTATAGTAATATTTTATAATTTTATTATTATTTTCATTACTAACATATATTTAAATGAATTGTACCAACTGTTTAGTTGAACCATTGCAACATTTGGTTTCTTTAACTAATTATTGAAACATTTAATTATCTATACTTAAGTCTTTCGGTGTAATATATTTTTTTGGTAGGGGTCTTTCGGTGTAACATTGTAACTACATAAATTATTTTTTATCATTTTAAATTATAAATATATTTAAATAAATTGTTGTAACCGTTTAGTTGAACGATTGCATCATTTAGTTTTTCGACGAATCATTGTAACTTTTAGTTTTGTTTTATGAATCACTGTAACCTTTAGTTTATTTGACGAACAATTACAATTTATTTCAAAAAATTTTTTTCTTTATAATTTTAAGTTATACAATATATATTGAAATGAATTATTGCAAACATTTAATTGAACCATTGCAATATTTAGTTGAATAACTTAGACCAATCATACTCTTTAGTTTATTTGACATACGAACCAACAACCCCTTGGTATATTTGATATCTATGGTCACAGATTTTGGTTATAGATCTATTTAAATGAATTGTTGCTAACGCTTAATTGAATTATTGCAATATTTTGTTTATATGATGAGGTGTTTCATTTTTTTTGTTTATATTAAGAACTGTTGTAACATTTAGTTTATTTGATGAACTGTTGCAATATTTGATGAACTTTTGCAATTTTTAGTATATTTGATAAAATATTGCAACTTTTAGTGTATATTTGATGAACTGTTGCAACATTTGCCCTTTATAAAAGATTTTTATGGACAATAATTGTAGATAAATAAAACAGAAAAAAGCACTAAACAAAAATATTTTTGGAGAGAACACAGAAAAATTAAACACTAAAAACAAACGCTCTCCTTATTCTATTTTTAGGTGAGATTATGTTGGTTCATAATAACCATTGTCTCACTACTTTATGGAATCTCTTTTAAGCGCTTGTCACAGCAGGGTTCCATATTTTTCCCTCAATCAACTAACAATTTTGGTTTGAGATCGGAGTGCTATTGGTAGATTTTATTACCATCTCTTTTAACAATAGTAATCCCAACAAAATACCTTTAAAAACTGCATTTTTTATAATATTTTTGTTAGGTAGTTTTTTATATATTTATAATCATTTTAATGTTTATTTTATAAAAGGTCAGTTTTTTTATTATGACTGTTCATTTTATCCTTTTTAATTTAGGTTGCGTCTCTTTACAATAACTTTTATTATGATAGTTTTATATTTATGTTCTCTTTTTCCATCATCTCTCTGTTTCAAATAGTTGTATATTACTACTAATATATCTTTCTGTCTAACATTTATAGATTTATAACTCTATTAATTTATGTAAATTTTAGATAAATATCAAGTTTGTTATTTATTTATTTTTCATGATATAAATGTAAAAAGATTGTATTGAAATGTCAAATTTTTTTATCATAACATTTGTTTTGTATGTTTTTCACTATGGATTATATTTTCATATTATAAGTCTTAGCCATATACATTTTTATTAACATATGTATCTATTTACCAATCATATTTTTCTAAATCTATTTATTTCTTAAAAAATAGAAATCAACAATTTTCATTAAAACATATTGAGTCTTCGATGAATCCTTTAACAAAAATGATTTTTCAATTATTCGATAATTGTTTCAAAACATACATTATTTTATAAGTGAAAAATTTCCTATTATTTTAAATTTTTTTTTAAAGATTTTAAAAATTATTTTGAATTGAAAAAAATAATTAATTTCCTAGAAAATGATCTGGAGTGTCGTGTCTTTTTATCATAACTATTTGTTATATACTTTTTTTTTTTTTTTTACTTTTTACTATGTTAAAAATTGAATTTTTGAGAAATGTCCATTTCTAAATGCCCATTTTCAAAAATTCTCCCTCACTTAAACATTTTAAAAAAATGCCTCTAAAAATCTAAGATCTAACCAAATACGAATGTAACATCATAAAACATACAAAACTATTTTTAAACGTGTGAAAAACCTTCTAAATAGCTAGTTTTTCTAAAAACAAATCATTCAACTGTCATAAACTAAATACTATATATCATCTTATGAAGGTTATGACCATTCTTCGATACGTTTGACAAGATTCCTTAACCATTCAAATTTGTTATTTCACCTTCAATGAATTTTTTTTTTTTTTCTCGTTATACACTTTATTATTATTTACTCACATAGTCATTATTTACTCTCTTTATAATAAGATTCTTTCGAAACTTCGAGGTAATCTTTGTTAATTAATTGATACAACAAATAAACACAATTGTTATCCTACATAAATCGTCTCACAGCCACAAATTTATCAAGGCTTATCATAAATAACATCTTCTAAACTGGGCTGCTTCGTTTTGTGGGCTATACAAATATTGGTTACTCACATAGTCACATACTAAAACACTCTCACTTGCCAACCAATCACAGGCTTCAACAGCCAACACGTGTCCAATAATGACCGATCCAACGATCACTGTTTCATCACAAGATCCTCAAAAGTACGTATTTTCATAAATGCCACTCCCACTTCAACGTCCTGATTCTGAATTTTTGAGTGAACGTCCCGAGTCCGATGGTTTAAGCGAAGGAACAATAATACACGACCGTCCCGTACCTAAGAAAAGGTCAGAGAGGTAATTACCCAAATCTTCAGGGGCAAATCTGACTTCCTCCCAATTTTCGACGTGGTACTTTGCATAAAACGACGTCGCGACAGACGTTAACTTCTTCGTCACGGAATCTTTTAAATCGTTTCTTAGTTTCGAATCCGGTGCTACCCATTCGCTCTGTTTCTGAAACGCTTCCTCGAACGCGTCGTTGAACCGCTTTAACCGCTCTTTCGCCACGTTTTCTTTGAGCATTTCTTCGTTTGAATCGGAAAGCGACATAATCACTTCTCCCCAAGCGATTTTCTCGTATTTTTCGAGGTATTGAGTAACTTTCCCTTCGTGATTCGTTACCCATTCGTCGCCAAGCACAACCCTCAGATTCGATGTACGTACCTTGGAGATCACGTAATGCAGATTGTTGGCTAGGAAGAGATATGAAAGAGCCATGTCGTTGTACATTCGAGATTTCGTATCGATTTTACAGAGCAATACGAGGATTAGCCATGCAATTCTTGTGGTTACCGTAGAAGAAGATGAAGATCTGGTTTCTCCGTCCTTGTTATCTTCGTCATTGTTCCCAAAGTAATCTTCCGGTAATGGCAACGTCGATTCAGTTAGAACTCCAGCTAGACATTCATGGTAATCCGCGAGGAAAACGATGAAATTCATTACGTACCTATTGTGATTATGGTGAATTAGATCAACTTAAAGCGTAAAACAAATTGGAAGAAATCACCTTTTTAGGGTTTTTGTAGGGTTTATTTTCAAGTACCTTGTGAGCTGATGAACTCCGCCTCCAGGGATTGGAGATTTCGAAGATTCTTTCGTAATCGAAGCTTCGAATTCAGCCACCATTGAATTAATCTCTTCACCAAGATTCTTAAGAGAATCAGCGGCTTGTAATCGAACTGCAGAAGTCGAATCATAACTGAAAATCTCTTCAATTTGGGGCATAAGCTGCGATATCGTTTGGTAAATATCGAGAGTAAGGAAGATTTTCTCGACGGTTTTTTTACATCTTGCAACACTCACTGGGAAGATAAAGAGAGTTAAAGCACTATCTAACGTAATCTCCGTGAAGCAAGACTCGGCTACGGAAACAGACGGCGAGAAAACGTGATCGCAAAGGATTCTTTCTCCCTCGAACAAATTCGCGATAAGGACTTTCGTAGCTTCTAACCATTTCTTGATGTTCTTCTCCATACTATCCCAATCCAATTTTTGAATCTTTCCAAAACTTAGATTCTCAAACCCTAAGTTACTCAATGCTTCAACCATAATTGATCCTCTTATCTTCTTGTAAATCTTGATACATTCGTTTTCGTAACCCGATGATATCATACAATCAGAGATCATTTTCAAATCCGTCATAACATCAGCTTCTTCAGATTTAGGAACTTGGGAATAAATCGACACTTTATTCCTTGCATTGAAAGATGGGGAAGATCGAACGGATTCGGGATCAAGATTCCGTCGATTCGATTTTAAAATCCGGTAAAACTCCTTTTCCAACTGTTTCATAGCGATTGTTACAAGATTATGGGCTCGAGTGAGTTTTGGTGATTCAGGATTCACCAAGACCACTCCTTGAATCGCGTATTGTAAGCTGTTGATAACCTCGATGAATCGTCGTCCTTCTACGCGATTTTCGGTGGAGAAAATCGAGGAGAGGGAGCAAGAAGATGAACTAGATAGATTGGGAGATATCCATTTACGTGTGAGAGTTTCAGCTGCTTCAATACTATCCATTAGAAGAGACTCAGAGAAGCTTTGGTATGGACGTGGTTTTAACCTTCTTCCTAGAGTTGAAGACGGTTTAAATAGTAGCATCATATTTGCTTTTGTTGTGTTTTTGTTTTCTTAGTTTTGTAACTATGGTAGAATCTGAAGAACTGATATGTTTGAGGTTTAATTTTTGTTTTGTTTTGGAGGTTCTAAGGAAGTATGTTTTTGATTTTTGATTTGACTATTTTTATGTTTGAGGTCTTTGATTCGAGTACATTTAAGCATGTGGTTGTCCTCCATTTGCTTTATGAAAAAAAATATAAAAATAGATTTTATTTTATTTTAGACAACTTTCTACTTGTAAAATAGCGAAAAACAATGGACTTGGATACGTTAGTCTATTTACGATTTTGGTTTCTTTAAACCCTCAGTTATTTGAGACTGCTGTCTAAATGTAGAATGTATCTTACCATTATTTAAGTAAAAAAGAAAGAGAAACGTCAAATATCAAATCTTAATTTCTTATTTATTTTCGACATATTATATCTTTAAAGAATCTAAATTTAGAGAATCTAATTGTAAGTGTATCAAGTTTAGAAAATCTACACACTTCGTGGTTCGAGGCTTCAAAAATTAACAATTAAATAGAAATATGGTGGTATATATGTTTGTTGTGTTGGATACTCTTAAATTTTATTATATATATTTACTCAAATTAATACTCTTTAAACAAGTTCATTGTAAAAATTTCATCATCAAACTCAATATTGATACTCTTTTAATCAATTTCATTATTGAGTTTGATACTCATATTTAAAATCAAGATTCATAACAAGATAAATAATTCATTAGAATTAATTAATAAAATCAACGGGAGCAATAATTTAGTACATCACGAAAGCCATAATATATAATTATTTAATAAAAAATCGCGTACATAGGAAAAAAAAAAAACTTTAGCTCTCCCTCCAACTTATGGTAACGATGATGCTATTTAGGCACAATCCTCTGTTTTGGAAGTCTGAATTTTCGAAGATCTGTTGATGTTTAGATAAAGTGTAGTAGCAATTCATTAATAAATAACTAATCTATAAAGAATGTAATAATGAAGTTGAGTTACAAAAAATATATATATAGAATGTAGCAAGTTACCTTGTTGACTATATATTTTGAGCCTTTTTAGTTCTTGGCCTCAGATAAAAAAAATGTACAACACAAATCAACACTATGAAAATCACAATTGGTATAATGATTCTCATACAGGTTTCAACATCCATTGATATAACTTTCCTGCTCTTATGTTTCTTCTTCCAAACTGCAATTTTATTTAAGTTTTTTTTCTATCATATCAAACTTAGTATACTAAAGGCTTAAGAATCTTTTATCAAAGGAAATTCAACTACAGCAATATTTTCTTTAGTTAAGAGAAGTTTTTTTACTTTTGCTTGATGATCTCTTAGGATCTGCGGTATTCGCAACCACTTTTGAGCCATCGAGTAGAGCGTGAGGACTTGAAGCTTTTACTAAATCATCAACAATGGTCATAGGCGATCCATGATCATTCGTCGCCATAACATATGATTCATCGTCATGTCTAGACAAAAAGAAAGCATAACAATATGTTTGTATTTAGTTACAACCAAAATGAAACAAGTGAAATCTAGGATTATGAGGTGTTCTTACTTCGAGACATCATATCTTCTTGAAATAGAATATCCGGAAGTTAAATAGAGAGAGATGAGTAGAAGGAAGGCCATGAGAGGAAACTTGGAAGCCATTGAAGTCCTTGTGTTTAATTTGCAAATGTGGAAAATATAAAAACAAATAGGAAAGAAGACTTCCCATATATAGTCACTAGGGATTGCCTACGCATGGGTTTGATATTAATATCATGAAATATATATTTGTGCACAAAAAAAAAAGCTAAAGATATTTTGAGCTGCTTTTAAGATTTGATTATTTGTGTATTTTATTTTATGCTACATGTATATTTAGTGTTTATAGTATCTTGAAAATAAATGTTAAGATATATTTTGTGGATTTCTGAATTGATTGAATTCATTTTTCTTACTAGATTCTCGTTATAATATAATACATTTATACACTAAATGTTTCTTTTCGAATAGACGTAAGTCTTTACTTATCATGTCTTTAAAACGGCATGCCGTTGATCATATTAATTAATAACGAGTCATATTAAAAAAAATAAAAATTAATAACGAGTCATATTAATTAAACCAATAGATGATTTTACCCATGTGATTCGAACGAAATCTGTAACTTGTAATTTGAATTTTTGTTTAACGGACAAAAAATTTCAGATTAGGGGGGAAAATTCTAATTTTAATTCAAATCCAAATGGGTCTAACGGAATAATTAATCCGGGGTAGTTTAGTAATTTCGTATCAATTAGCTTTAACCACTACAAATAGAATTTTCTCGTCATCGACTCAAAAAAACTTGGTCTTTACGATTCAAATGATCAACATCAGAATCAACCTGTTTCGGTTCAAGCCGGTGATGAATCTGGGGACGAGGACGCAATTTGGGGGAAAATTCTTGTCTCCGCCGTCAAGAGAAGCGTGTGACTGAATCGGAAAACCTCTCCGATTACAACGCAAAACAAGAATCAGGTATATATATAATAACCCCAGTTCTGATCTATTTTAAGTTTGTTTTTGATTCATCGATTGTTTCGTTTACTTCATAATTCTCTTCTGATTATTCAGAACAGAATCGTGTAATTGAATCTGGGTTCGTTGCTTCAAATGTATCACAAATCCTTCTGATTACGCAAAATAAGGTTAGGAATCACAAACCCCTTTCTTCGGTTTATAGTAATCTTTTAGCGATTTAGAAGAATCAGTGAATTTCGTACTAGTGTGATGATTGATGATGATGATGATGATGATGATGATGATGATGATGATGATCTTCAATTTGTCTCCGTTTATTGCTAGATTTTTTTTGGTTTCAACCATGTAGGTTTTTGAAAAATGTTGGTTACATGTGTTTTGATTAAGAAAATCTAGCGATTTAGAAGTATTTGTGATAATTTTTCTCTGTTTAGTGGGTGTAGTGTTTTAGTGTGCCTAAGATATATTACCTGATTCTCAAAATCTATATCTCTATTTCAGAGCTAATAAAACTTCTCGTGAACATAAGATATAGTTAAAATGTAAGATTATGTATAGTTTAAAGCCTTTTTGGTATTTTATTCGCTCTATGTTACTCCATTGCTTGCTGATTACTAATAAATGTCATTGCTTTCAAGTTCAGAGAACAAAAGGGTATTTCGCTAGCCAAGACATACAATGGAACTTTTGACAAAGGTTTTCAAAAGCCAACAAAGGTATGGTTAAGTAGCTCTCTCTCTGTCCCACTTATCATGTCTCTGGCACTGTCTCAAAAACAGAGCATAAATCCACGAAAACCCACACTCTAACGCACAAAAAAATATATCAAACACACAAAACACAAAACGAAATTCACACAAACAAAAAACATAGCACACAACGTCCAAACGCAACTTAAAGAAACAGAAAACAGAACATAAATCCATGAAAACCCACACTCGAACATACACAAAAAAACATATCACACACACAAAACGAAATTGAAACGCACAAACAAAAAACATAGCACACAACGTTCAAACGCAATTTCAAGAAACAGAAAATAAACTTTCACAGGAAGTTTTTTTAACAAAAAGTGTGAGTAATCCCATTTGACGTTGTGACTGTCCCTTATTTTTTACTTTCTTATCTACTTGCTTTAGTATAGCTTGTATTAACTTATATATTTGAAAATGCTTTCGTGTACACGAGCATTGTTTGCAGTTTAAACCAGGTTTTCATAAGAAAAAGCAAAAGCTTCAGATGTGTTTCAATATACTCATGACTGACAAGGTAATCTTGTTAAACGACCTTTTTCATCGTTTGAAACTCTTTTCCATTAGAACCAATGCGACTTTATGTAAAACCACGTTAATATATATTTTAAGTATTCAGGGGTTTCAGTTATAATCTTACATTTAGTCAGAAGATAGCTCTGACCGGGTATAAAAATTAGAGAAAAGGTTTCTCATATTTAAGTTTGTGTTTCTGTCTGTTTGATGTAGACATTGTTCCTTATTTTGTGTATAATATCCTTTTAATTGGCTTGAATGATGTTTAACTTGCAGGAATAACTTTGTGTGAGCCTGCTGATGTATGAGAGTTGATAAAGAGACTTGAAGAAGGTAAGCTTTTGTGACGAATTGGTAAAGCATTTTCTAGATTCTGAACCTTGATTTATTCTGAAACTCACAGTTATCCATTTTCTCACAGTTATCCATATTAATGCAGTTCACGCTATAGAAAGCATAAATTCAACGTATAAAGTGAATAAGGTTTGGACTGGTGGACTTGCACTGAGAGGTACAATTTCTTGTCAAAACCCCGGAACCGTAGTCATCTTTATAAGACTATCTGTGTCTCTACCAATTTCTGAAGCTTGTTAATGTCCTCTCTGTTTCCAGTGTGGATGAACAAAACATTTGTCACATTAATGATCATTCTCATTGTTCCTTGGTTGTGATATAGATCATGCGAAGGGAAACAAATATAAGTAAGCACATTTGTGTCCGTTTTTGCTAGTTTTTGTTGGTTGTGATATGCATCATACGTAAGTAACTAACTATATCAGCGTGTGGTTGGTTTCTAATGTATTAAGGTTCTCATGACTGATTTGTTTTACGGATGGCACTTTGCTGGAACTTTCGATTGTCAGTCAAGGACTGAAGGTCCAATTGGAACAATGAGGTTTGATGCTGAGCCAACAGTGGTATCCACATTGCTCTTAGGTTGTTGGATCTCATCAGGGATCAATTCCCTACTATCTCTTTTGCTGATTTCCATCAGTTACATGATTTTAGATTTTTTAAAAGCACTCTTTGGTTGACGGTGATAACTTTAGGGTTTGGATTCTAACTCTCGATGTCCTTTTGGTGTAAAAATTGATCTTTCATCTTGCTGGTGTTGTGGCCGTTGAAGTTACCGGTGGCCCTGGAAGAGAGGTTAATCATTGCTGAGAGAAAGTGTTCTGCTTTCTTTGTAGAGATGGCTGATTGATAATGTAGACATTCTCTCAATACTTGTAATACTGAAACACTGTGGGACTTGATTGTCTGTTTCTAACATGCATATCTTGCTTTCAGGACATCCCCAGCCACCTCGAGAGGGTCGTCTTCCTGATGCTACAAAGGGTTTTGATCACTTGAGTGATGTATTTGCTAAGCAGATGGGCTTGTCTGACAAGGACATTGTCGTTTTATCTGGTGCCCACATTTCTATTTCTCCATTTCAGAGCTAACAACACTTGTGAAAAAGGTTCATATACGTAAGATGTAGTTTAAACTGTAATTTTTTGCTGGTTTAGTTCATAGCCTTTTGCATTTTATTCGCTCTATGTTACTCTGTTTTGTTGCTGACTTACTAATAAAGGTCATTGCTTACAAGTGAAGAGATCCTTAAGCTGCAAAGCACAGAAGGGAGATTATTCGCTAGCCAAGACATACAACTGTTAAGGTCAAGTCTCTTCCTCTCTCTCCTTTACCGCAATTAGACACGTAGGATATAGAGGCTTGCACTATCCCAAAAATTGTTTACTTCTGTACCATTCTATATCTCTTACAAAACGTTTGTCTGTTTTCTTTTTTATCTTTGAATAAGAACTAGATAAGGTGAACTAGAGAAGATGAAGCTGACCAAATGTCGACAGGGAGGATTCTGTAAGTTTGTCATTTTTGGTTTTATGATCTTCTGAATTTAAGCTATTCGTTCTATGTTTAAGCTGCTTGTTATTAACAAATGTTCTTTGGTTTCAAGAGCTTTCTTAAGTTGAAATGGAAATTTTGACAAAGGGTTTCAAGATGAAGGATTGTTTAGCCGTAAAGAAGCTTTGAAGACCATTTAGTAGCCAAAAAAAGGTATGGTTAAGTAGCTCTCTCTCTCACTTATCATGTCTCTTGCACTGTCTTAAAAACAGAGCATCAATTCATGAAAACACACTCAACGCACACAAAAAAAACAAAAAAAAATTCACGAACTTCAAACGCACAAACAAAAAACACAGCACACAACCTCCAAACGCAACTTCAAGAAACAGAAAACAGAACATAAATCCACGAAAACCGACACTCGAACGTACACAAAAAAAAATCAAACACACAACACTTAATTAAAAGTTACACACAAAGAAAAAAAAAACAGAGCACACCACGTCCAAAAGCAATTTCAAAAACAGAAAACAGCTTTCACAGAATTGTTTTTAACAAAAAATGTGAATAATCACATCTGATGTCAAGAACTTGCTTTGTTCCCTTGTTTATTACTTTCTTATCTACTTACGTTAGTATAGCTTGTATTAACTTATTTTTTTCTTCAAGCGAAATGCAAACATGCTATATAGTTGAAAATGCTTTCGTGTACATGAGGATGGTTTGCAGTTTAACTCATGAATGATGAGGTAATCTTGTTAAACCATAAATGTGACTTTATGTAAAACTTCTTTAAGTATTCATGGGTTTCAGTTAAGATTTTCCCTTTATTTTAAGGATTGCTCCGACCGGTTATCAAAATTAAAGAAGGTTAGTACTTTATAGTATTGTGTTTTCTCATAATTAAGTTGTGTGGTTATGTCTGTTTGATGTAGACATTGTTCAGTATTTGGTGTATAATCCTTTAATTGACTTAATTGATGTGTAACTTGCATGAATTACTTTGTGTGAGCCTGCTGATGTATCATTAAGGAGTTGACAAAGAGACTTGAAGAAGGTAAGTATTTGTAACAAATTGGTAAAGCGTTCTCCTAGGTCAAAACTATTTGAGATAAAGATGCAACCAAAACATATATTTTCACTTTCTTTTTTATTCTTTTTTTTTTTTTTTTTTTTTTAATTCTGTTTAGGCATACCGATCAAGAGTGAGTGACAAGAGGGATGAAATCTTCCTATCTTGCTTTCAATTAGTTTCTGGAAGTGCTTTAGGTCCAAAATCCTGGCGTTGAGAACTAGATGATGCAGAGAAAGAGAAGCATGTATTTCTATCTGGTAAGAATTTTACATGTAAGTCCTTGTTTTTCATTTTCCATTGCATTGGCCTCGAATCTTGATCTATACTGAAACGCACAGTTATCCATTTTATCTTGTTAATGCAGTTCACGCCATAGAAAGCATAAAATCAACGTATAAAGTGAATAAAGTTTGGACTGGTGATCCTTTCTCTCCAAGACTATTCCCTTGGGAAGGTACTTCTAATTACCAAATCAAGTCCATATAATCTCCCTCTCTGATAATTCTGCTGATCAGCTTGTTTTTTGTTTTTCTTGATGCGAAAATGAATCTTAGTTCAAGTGGGTTAAAAGGACCAATAGCCTTCTCCTTTAGAGATCTCTCCCTCGAGTTATTGTAAGTATACAAATGCAAGCCATACATACACCTCTTTATTCACAATATACATAAGATTCGTGTGCATTGTTTTCCCAGGGATATCAAGAAACAACCTGAGAGGGAATTTTTTGACTGATCTAAAGTATCTGATGTTCTTTAAGGTTGAGCTCATAGAGAGGCTTTTCGTTTGATAGACATTTGAAAGGAAATAACTTGGATGGGTTTGTCCCAAGATCTATAAGGAAAAGAAGAAGGGCTGGTGGACTTGCACTAAGAGGTACATTTTCTTGTCAATACCCCGGAACCATAGTCATCTTGGAAAGAAAAAGAAGTAAACACAGTTAGTCTTTTACATAATTTAAACGGTTAATAAAAGTCAGAATTAACTGTTGAAAGAAAGCGAGTGTTTTAGTTTCCTAGTGTATTCGGGAGCTTAGACATTGTTTTATGGTTGCTAAAGTGGAAAATGTTTGCAGGAGGAGCGAGCTTTTTTTCACAGTGCATCATCGGAACTTGTAAGTTTGTCATTTTTGGTTTAAAGATCTTTGGAATCCAAATATATGTTCTATATTTAAGCTGCTTGTTATTAACAAGGGTTATTTGGTTTCAAGAGCTTTCTTAAGTTGAAATGGAACTTTTGACAAAGGGTTTTAAGATGAAGGATTGTTTGGCTGCAAAGAAAATCATTCAGTAGTATCCAACAAAGGTATGTATGGTTAAGTAGCTTTCTCTCTCTCTCTCTCTCACTTATCATGTCTCTTGCACTGTCTCAAAAATAGAACATAAATCTACGAAAATCCACACTCAAATGCACACAAAACTAATTTAAAGTCACCGAAACACAAAACGAAATTCAAACAAACAAACAAAAAACATAGCACACAACGTCCAAATGCAACTTCAAGAAACAGAGAACAGTACATAAATCCACGAAAACCCACACTCAAACGCACACAAAAATTAATTAAAAGTCACCAAAACACAAAACAAAATACATAGCACACAACGTCCAAACGCAACTTCAAGAAACAGAAAACAAACTTTCACAGGAAATTTTTAAAAGTGGGAATCACATTTGATATCAAGAACTTGCTTTGTGACTGTTCCCTTATTTCTTACTTTAATATCTACTTGCTTTGGTACAGCTTGTATTAACTTATTTACTTCTTCAAGTGAAATGCAAACATGCTATATAGTTGAAAATGCTTTCGTGTACACGAGCATTGTTTGCAGTTTAAACCAGGTTTTCATAAGAAAGAGCAAAAGTTTCAGATACGTTTCAATATACTCATGAATGATAAGGTAATCTTATTAAACCTTTTTCATCATTTTAAACTCTTTTCTATTAGAATTAATGTAACTTTATATAAAACTAATTATATGTTCTAAGTATTCAGAGGTTTCAGCTGTGATCTTCCATTTATTCAGAGGATAGCTCCGACGGGGTATCCAATCTGCCTCAAAGTTAGAGAATTGTAGTGCTTAATAGTATAATATTGTGTTTTTTTCTCATAATTAAGTTGACATTGTTCTTTTGTTCATTATTTTGTGTCTAATGTCCTTTTAATTGGCTTAATTGATGTGTAACTTGCAGAAATAACTTTGTGTGAGTCTGATGATGTATCTATTAAGGAGTTGATAAAGAGACTTAAAGAAGGTAAGCTTTTGTAACGAATTGGTAAAGCATTACAACTATTTTTAAGACTCATAACTACAATGCACTTGCGGTTTAGTTTGTGAAAGAAAAAAATAATGAGTAAAGATGCAACCAAAACATATATTTTCACTTCCTTTTTGCTTCTATTTAGGTACACCGAGCAAGAGTAGGTGACAAGAGGGAAGTTGTTGTAAAGGTTAGAAATAATCAAAAGACAACTGAGATCTTCTTAGCTTGCTTTCAATTAGTTTCTGAATGTGCTACGACATGTTTAGGTCCAAAGTCCTGGCGTTGAGAAATTGATGATGATAGATATAATAAACTTGCAAATACATGCCGAAAACGAGAAGCAGGTATTTATCATTTCTATCTGGTAAGAATTTACAGTCCCCAAGTCACTATAAGTCCTTGATTTTCATTTTCTAGATTGGGTATGAATTCGACTTTGAAAGGGAGGCCAATGCAATGGAAAAGCTCCAACGTTTTCTTTATGATAACAATAGATAGAGCCATGTTCTGGTTCCCAGGGTGCTACGAAATTTGGTGATCACCAGGTACTTGTTTTATAATCATAATACGCACAGGAAGGTTCTGCTTATGGTTTACATCCACGGAATCCCGATCTTAACAATCTTTTTTATTGAATCTTCATTTTCAGTGACACTTATGGGAGAGCCAAGCATTTTTTTGGTAGTTCCTGGTAAGGTAATTTGATTTCACGGTACCTTGTTAGTTTCTTTCTTTAGTATGTTTTATTGTATTTCTATGTTATAAGTTTCATGGTTTCAATGGACGTGAAATTTATTTGTCGTTGAAACTTTGTCCAGGTTAAAAGTATGAATGAGAACCTCGTCTGAGAATATTGGTTTAGTAAGTATTATTTCTATGATTGTATTAATTTAATACTCGTGATATATATTGAAACAGCTGCTTCGCCTAAAAGTGATTATGAACCTCTGGAATTGTCCTGGACATCAGGCTATCCAAATACTCTGTTCTATACCTACCTTTATTTTGCAGTTGCGAGCAGAAAAATCAAGATATCCACAGCACAATCTCTGAATGAATTTTCCACCACCATCAAAGACGGTGTGTTGTGTTCATCTTTACTTTGTTAGTTGACTAGCTATATTCTGAACCTTGATTAATACTAAAACTCACAGTTATCCATTTTCTCTTGTTAATGCAGTTCACGCCATAGAAAGCATAAAATCAACGTATAAAGTGAATAAGGTTTGGACTGGTAATCCTTGCTCTCCAAGACTATTCCCTTGGGAAGGTACTTCTAATTACCAAATCAAGTCCCTGTGAGTCATTCATTTCAACCAGACAATAACCAATTTTTGTAATCTCCCTCAAGGATAATTCTGTTGATGAGCTTGTTTTTGTTTTTTTTTGATGCGAGAATGAGTCTTAGTACAAGTTGGTTACAAGGACCAATAGCCGTCTCATTTAGAAATCTCTCCCTTCTTGAGTCATTGTAAGTATACAAAGGCCACCCTTACTCACACACTTTCTACCTCTTTATTCACATAATACAAGAGTAGTGTGAATTGTTTCCCCAGGGATTTATAAAACAACAACCTAAGAAGGGTTGATAAAAGTCAGAATAAATGCTGAAAAAAATGAGTGTTAGTTTCATAGTGTATTCAGGAGCTTATTCAGGACCACTTCTGCCTTCGGGAAAGACAAGGTTCACATGTAGCATTACAAACAACTTCGAAAGTGACCGGTAAAGGAGGGTTTGGTAAGAACAGCAAAAACATTAGAAATCGAAATCAGATAAGTTTAGACATTGTTTTATGGTTGCTAAAGTGTAAAAGTTTGCAGGTAGAGCTTCTTTTCACAGTGCATCAACGAAACTTAGCTTAGTTTATTGGATACTGCGATGATGGCTACGAGTACATGGCTAATGGCAACTTACAACACTAATTTTTTAGTACTTACGGTTAAGGTAATTTGATTTCACGGTTTGTATTTCATACCCGCTTTTTTAGTCGTTATAAGTTGTTTGAAACTTTGTCCAGGTTAAAATTTTATAAGTATAAATCAGAATGAGAAGCAAGTAAAGCAACCTCGTCTGGGAATATTGGTTTAGTAAGTTTTATTCCTTTGGCTAGAATTTGGTTGTATTAATTTTATCTTACTCAAACTCAAAATACATAACAAAATATTTATTTTTTTAGGAGCAGCAAAGAATTTCAATTTGGAGATGACTTGGTGTAGCCAAGAACAAGCAAGCGGCTCTTGGATGATGTAACTGAGTTACGGTAACTATCTTTTACCTCTCATAAAACAAAACACAAACACAGGCTACACAGCCAAAAAAAAAAAAATTCTTACACTCGAAACATTAAATTTTAAAACACAAACCCACGAAAACATAAAACACACAAAACAAAAAATCCACGTGCACACAAAAATGCAGAAACAAACTTTACAACTTCACGAATCACGATTACATAAACTCCACAACGATCACATAGAGTTTTGCTTCCTCTACAACACAATTTTGATTTTGATTTTTTCACAATGACTTGTATAATTTTAACTCAATTCTTCTTGTTTTAATATTCTTTTTCCAATGTATTTTGAGCGTCAGTGAACTTGTAAAGTTTCTTGTTATCAGTTATTACATTTTTTAAGTTGTTTTTTTTTTCTCTAGAATTTGTAATTAGGATATCATTGTTCTTGTTGTAATTCTTGTGTGAGGTTTTGCGTAAGTGTCTAAGAGTATCTAACCCAAGAAGAAGGTTTCAGCAAAAGGAACAAAGAAAGGTCACGAGGAGCTCACGTGACGTCTATGCAATTCAACGTAGGACAAAGGAGTAATTAACCTATGTTTAAGCTCAATCTCATTTGTCTCCTTCCTCTGTACGGAACAGAGCATGCGAGAAAGAAGAAGAGAGAGAGACAGGTTGTCTTGTATAAAAGGGAGTAAGCTGAGATGTTTTAGGGTTAAGAGAGCAAGAGAGAGGCGGCTGAGTTTATAGCTATTCTCTGTGTAACCAAGAACAGAGCTTTCTAGTGGATTTCCGAGTAATCTCGGCGAGACGTAGTGTTTCCAGTTTGGAACGTGAACTCGTTAAAGTTGTGCGTGTCTGTTTTACTTTCTCTGTTTAAACACACGAGTGATCGAACAAAGAGTGAAATAGAGAGAGGTTCCGCATAAAACAGTTCAAAGCTTCAAGAAAACCTTCAAAGGATCATCAACATCTTGTTTCCAATATTCTCTTTGCAATGTATTTTCTGAGCGTCATTAAACTTGAAACTGTAACTCATATATGCCTGCTCAAATAGGGGCGAGCGGTACGACGGTCAAGGGTTCAATCCCCAATAATTAAAGCGCCTATTTTAAAATTTTTTTATAAAAGTATTAAAAAAATTAGATTACAACATAAAAATAAAATTTAGAAGGGCCCATAATTATTTTTATTTATTGTTTTTAGTTTTAATAATTACTTTTTTAATTAAAATATTATACAAAATTGTTTTCCAACATGAAAACACTAAAAAGAAAAATTCTAAGGGTCTAAAATTTTTTGCCCTAGAGCCCATAAGAGTGTTGAGCCGGTCAATATATCACTAAATTTTTTATAAGAAAAACAAAGTAGATAATTCAATTTTAATCTATCGTTTCCCCTACCAAAAATTTTTTTTTAATCTATCGTTTCCATTTCAATCGCAAAACTAATCAAAATAATCACACTAATATTAATTACTGCTGCAATATCATTAATCACAAACTCACAGGTGTGTCAAACAGAGGAACCAGAAGAATGAAAAGACGAACTCCCTGATCCACGAGACCCAAAATACAAATCCGAAAGATAATTCCCAATATCCTCAGGGGCAAATCCGACATTCTCTAATAACCCGACCCGATACCTTTCACAAAAACCCGAATATCTCGGTATAATCATCATCCCCACAGACCGTTTAATCTCATCTCTCAATTTCGAATCCGGTACAACCCAACCGGTTTGCCTCTTATACGCTTCCTCAAACCCATCACTAAACCGTCTAATCCTCTCCTCCGCCGTCGTCACATCATCAGAAAGTGACGTCATCACCTCTCCCCAAACAATCTCCTCAAACTTTCCGGCGTACTTCTTCACCTTCCCTTCATGCTTCTTAACCCAATCCTCACTCAAAACCATCCTCAGATTCGACGATCGGACTTTAACAACAACGTAATTAACATTATTAATCAAAAACAGATACGAGAGAGCTACGTCGTTATAGAGACGAGACTTCGCGTCGATTTTGCAGAGTAAGAACAAAATCAGCCACGCGATTCGCGATTTCACCGGAGATGAATCACCGGAGCTTTCTTCTTCCGGTGAAGGTAACAACGGTTTCGAGATGATATCGGAGAGTGTATCACTGTAATCAGCGAGGAAGGCGATGAAATTCATCACATACCTCGTCAATTGATGAATTCCACCTCCGGAGATTAACGATTTCGACGATTCTTTCGAAATCGAAGATTCGAATTCATCGATCATCGAAATCACACCTTCTCTGAGATTTGCTAAACTTAAAGCGATTTGTGATCTGACGGTGGAGGTTGAATCGGAGCTGAAGAGTTCGTCAATCTTAGGCAATAGATCGATGATTGTTTGATAAACATCGAGAGTCAGAAAGATCTTCTCCGGAGATTTTCGACATTTCGCCATTTTTTCCGGGAAAGTGAACAAAGCTAAAGCGCTTTGTAATGTGATTTCTGCAAATGCAGATTCACGAATTGATGATGATGATGAAGAGAAGACGTGATCGGAGAGGATTCGTTCGCCGGAAAACAGAGTATTCACAGTTCTTGTTGTAACTCGTAACCATTTTCGTATCTTCTTCTCCATAACTTCCCATTTAAGTTTCTGTATCTGCGAAAACGTTAGATTCTCGAATCCAAGTTGATTTATCGCTTCGACGATTATCGATTTACGGATTTTCTTGTATATTTTAAAGCATTCTTTGCTATATCCGGATGATATCATACAATCCGCGATCATCTTTAAATCTTTCATGACATCGGAGTCGGAATCGGAAGCTTTTGAAGAACGGATAGAGACGGATTCGGGGTCGAGGTAGCGTCGATTTGATTTAAGAATGCGGTAAAACTCTTTGGAGAGATGATTCATGGAGATTCGCATTAGATTCTCGGCTTTAACGAGTTTCGTTGACGTTGGATTTACTGAGATTAGTCTTATCATACCGGAGTGTAAGTTGTTTACAGTGTTGATGAATCGTTTGGCTTCTTCGCGGTTTTCGGTTGAAAATAGCGATGAGATGAAGCAGAAAGAAGAAGCATCGACGAGTTCCGGTGAAATCCATTGGTTTATGGTAGATTCAGCGTCTTCGAGACTATCTTCCATTAGAGACTCTAAAAAGCTTTGGTGTGAATGTTGTTTTAGCTTAGAAGAAGAAGAAGAAGTCGTTGATAAAGCGAAGAGTACCATTTTTGTGTTTTTTTGTGTAAATGATTTCGTTTAGAGCAGTATTTATAGTGGATATGTTCTGTTTTTATGATTCTTTTGACTTGAGTATTTTTTATTTGAATTTATGTGTATAGAATAACAAAAACGTGTGACAATGACATGTTTCGCGTTTACATACTCATCGAATATATATATATATATATATATATATATAGAATATATATATATATATATATATATATATATAGTAGTGTTGTGTCCCTTGTTTGAAAAATCGTTAGGCGCTAGTCGGACGTTCGGCATGGATCTAGCGATTAATCGGAAAATCGGATTAAAATCGGGGATTAATCGGGGATTAGTTTTAGGGTTATTTTAATATTTTTAAAATATATTAATTCAATATTGTTTTCAAAATTACAGTAAAAACAAATTTTTATGATTTTTATTAAAATTTGAACACAAGTTATGTAAAACATCACAAACTCCCAATTCAAATGATTGAATAACAAAAATAAAATGTTTTTTTATACTTGCAATCTAAAAAATAATCGGGGTATGTAAGATTAGGCGGGGAATAATCGGATTAGGCGGGAAATAATCGGATTAGACGGAGAATAATTGGGTTACTGATTTTTTAGAGGATTAGTCATTAATCGAGGCGGAGAGGGTGGGCCTAGCGATTAAGCGGGAAGTAAACAGGGCTAGGAGGGGATTTTTAGAACAGGGGTTGTGTCCATCCAATGGAATAGATCATAGAAAAATTGGACAAAAATGAATTTGTTAAATAGTATTTATTGCGTTTGTTAAACCTATATATAGGTTTTAGACGAGACGAGTTTTAGGACTCGGCCTCAATCTTCGTTTACTAAAATCAAGAATAAATAAATAGTCTCATAAGTCATAATAATAACGAAATAATGAAACTATATTGTTCATCAAACTCAAATGACCAAAATGGAGTATATTATATATTGAACCACCACTTGTTTTCCTACAATTTAAATTTTTTAAAAATGTTACTTATAATTCAAATTCATCAAAAAAAATTTAGATTTTTTATCCGACATTGTTCTTGGAAAATCATTGTAAATTGATTGTTGGGATTAAATAAACAATCTCGAGAAATGTGTATGTTGTGTTTTATCACATGTTTGCTTACCATTAATGAATTTTTATTTTATTTTTGAATGCTTTCTAAATGAGATTAAGTGATTAACGCATAAAATCGATCAATAAAAGAGCACATGTAAGCTAGATACCCACATATCATGACCTAATTTATCAGTACATAACTGAATAAGATTATCTCCAACAATAATCATCAAAATTCTTATTTTTTTTATAAATGTAAACCGACCATAGCATTTACATTTAGTACGCTATAACATAGGTTTTTTTATGTTGAGATCTAATTAAGTTCGGATGATAAAAAAAAAAAAACGTAGGTTTTTTATGTATACAATCACGGACGGTGTAACATGGTTTATTTTTACATACTTGGCTGTTTCCTTTTACACATATCCACAGAGGGGTATTTAAAACCTGTTATTTGTAAATTATTTAAAGTCAAAGTACCAATTCTTGCATACCAAAATTTTGCCGAGAAAAATACCAATTTCTCTACAATCCAACTTTGACTATTTTTCAATTTTTATTCAAATACTAATACATGTATGCAGTATTTTATATAAAGAATTTATACTTTCAATGGGCTATAATGGAAATTAGTTTTCAACATATTAGAGTAATTCACGTAAAACGAATCCATTGCATAATATTTATTTCATCTAGCCGTCATTATGGTGAGTCATTTGACTCATTTCCCATGCAAACGAGGGAAAAAGACCAATATTATTATATTACAAATAAGTGATTAAACAAATGAAAACTAAGACCATTCGTGTATTTATTTGGTCATATCTTGTGGAAAATATATATACTTACGTTTCTGCTCAAGTCACCTAAACCATTACACTAGACGCGTCGATGACTAAGCTTGATGAAATGCAAAAAAGCTTGTTTGTTTAAGTAATTCCAAAACTTATTTGCATGAATAAACATCATTAATTACTTGATGATACTATAATATCTAGATCTTGTATAATTGTTTTTCTTTTTCCAAAAAAAAAAAAGTATAATTGTTTTTTTTTTCTTTCACAGTAAGAGCAGTTTCTATTTTCTGCTAAAAAGAAAATCAATTAATTATGTATCACACCTATGGACTAACAATATAATGTAATATGACTGATTTTTTTTTTGCCATCATCAAAAAAAAAAACATTAATTTCCCAATATTGAAATTTGATTATGTTTTATTAATTACAGCTGGAAGACAAAATTACATTATAATGGTTATACAACTCCGCGTTAATTTAATTACTTCGCGTAATCGTATATTTATGGTTACAAATTGTCAATACAATGAATCGACATTACTTGTCTCTTTCTCCATTTATATCCTTACATTTAAAAAAACCATAATGAATCCGTGTCACATTTGTTTTATCCTTAATATAGAAAAAAAGTAATGGATTTTCAAAATCACATTTGTTCAACCTTTGTCCCAAAATGGTCTAGTAAGACCTGTCTTGTAGTTGTAATTAAGAATTATGAAAAATTGTAAGAATTAGTTTTACACCACTGCAAGAAAACGTAGAATAAAACATTATTA